GTGTCGTTGTGAATTGATAAGTCGGTACCATCAAGTTCGACAATCCTGGGGGATATCCAGGAGTTCAAGCCTATACTATTACGGTATGCTCTAGGTTCGATTGCAAGTTCTCTTTCGTTATACAAACTGAATGGTAGTGGTACTTTAAGGGACTCGCCAGGCCACAATACTTTGGTTTTTCCAGTATGGCGGGCAATATGCATTGTGGAACAATTGGTTTTCAAATTTGAGAACCCGGAAATGTCAAATGGCTCGCCGTTATGGAAACTGATTGTAAATTTAGCAGGACGCAATGTGATATCATTGTCGATCATAAAAGGGGTTCCGGCAATAATTTCATTGTCCAAGTTATCTATTACCAAGGCATTGAAAGGAACTGATAATTTACCGCTACTTAGGTGAATCGTCGTTTCACCTAAGATTGATAAATACGACGTGCCATCAGCTTGAAGAACTTTTTGTTTAGTTTTGGTAACGCTAGCATGTAAAATTTTCGACAAAGAATGCGATATCAAATTTGACTCAGCCCCAGTATCGAGTAGGACACTGACAATATGATTGCCACAATTCATCTTTAGGAGGGGGGCTCGTTCGATATCTACGCGTCTTGCGTGTGTAAGATTTGAAAAAGAACAAATTCTTACCTCTGCGTCGACGCTGTCAGCATGCGGCTTTTCTGCCTGACTATATCTTGCTCTGGTTAGATATTCACGATCCCTTTCTGGCAACTTTGGGCACTTGCTGAGAAAGTGGTTCGAAGTGTAACCAGCCAGCTTGCAATATGGACACTCTTTGATACGAGTATGTTTGTTCTTAGATGCGACTTGATCAGAAAGTCTTCGATTGTTGGCCCTCTTGTAAGTTGTCCGTGCAACTTTAACTTCTTCAATGGTAGTTAGTTCGTTCAGTAGAGAGTCAATAGCGGCTGAAATTTCCGGCTTGATTGACGCAAGTGTACGAGTACGAAGCTCCGTACCGTATTTTTGTTTCACTAGCTTGGGTAAGCCTTCATGGAGTAACACAAGCCACTGGAGAACAATGAAATTTTCAAGTGTCGGTGACATCTCTTCATCTTCGGTTGAAACAACGTCGTGATGTTTAATGCCACTTCCACTTGTGGAAAGATTGTCTTCAACAGAGGCCATCAGCCGCTGGAACAAATCTTCAGGACGCTCATCAATTTCGAGCTTGAAATTTGCGAAGGCTAACAGATGTGCCCCGGTTGTGTGAAAGCCATAGTGCATACGAATCGATTGCCATATGTCATTCAAAGAAGTTGAGTTCTTAATAATCGTATTTCTTGAGATGACTGGACAAAAATTAGCTATTTGTCCCAACATAAGGTCAAGTGTCGTATTTTTCTGAACAGCGGTTCTTCTCGACTCCTCTGCGAATTTTTCGCTGTCGTCGGTAAAACCTCTTAACGGCGAAGATTTGGTTTTCTTCCCCCAGGTGAATCCGACAGTGAGAAATTGACTAAAGTTGCTGTCTATTGCAAGAATATAAAGTAGGTTCTGGCGCCACGATTCGAACGAGTTGATAGTCTCGAACTTGCTAAGCTGCCATTGTTTGGGAGCTTTAGGAGAAGCCATTTCAGTCCTCTTGAAGATTATTTCAAAGTGATAACGTGAAATTCATTTTCAACGCATGCCACCACGCCATTAATTAACTAAACTCTCCTGTCTAGTGCTGTACAAGTGAGGACAGAAAACACACGTTACTCCAACAGAAGCCGAGACTCGAATGTATTGTCGTAAACAAATTCACACAACTACAGATCACGTAATCAAGAACGTGCGCACAACAATAACAGAAAACAGCATAATAATCATTACAGTACCAATCTGGCGCAGGTAGTTACCTGATGTGCGCTACGAAACTCACTTTCTAGACGTTTTTCAGCGCCTCGGCTCGCGGCCTATACACAACAAACTAACTGCTGTCAAATAAACTGAAAGCGAAAATGCTTGTCTAACCACCAGTTGTTGGACTAATCGAGAGTTCTTGGTCAAACACGCACGCGCCGTATAAGTATAAGTATAAGTTTATTTCGACTTCATAATCAGCAAAACAATAAAATGAATGCTAAAAATAAATAAATAAAAACTGATTATGAAATCAGGAGAGCGAACAAAACCTTATATAAGGTTTAAAACGTACAGAATGTATATAAGATGGAAGGTTTTGCCAAGAAGATGTGGTACGTGTTCACTCACCTAAAATAATTGAAATATTTCACACACGCTCACACGCACCCATACACACAACCATATAGAAGTTATTAAGTAAAGGGAACATGAAAAATAATTGAAATATTTCACACACGCTCACACGCACCCATACACACAACCATATAGAAGTTATTAAGTAAAGGGAACATGAAAAATTACATACTGGTAGTTAATAAAAAATAAATAAATAAAAATTACTTGCCACACCATATTAATAAATTTATCATGATTGCCACTGCCAAATTGATCAATTTTATAAATGGGAGGGAACAGTAAAGATAAACTTTTATAAAAAAATATATTGTCAAGCTGATTATAGATGGAGTCAAATGCCAAAATGCCCAACCTAAGTTGCCAGAATTGGGTGCATGAAGAGGTGGGCTAGACCACTTCATTGCCCAAACTAGAGCCTATTATTGCCAAATTGTAGTTCAGATTGCAATAAGTATTTAAATCTATCAGTAACTTTATAAGTATGAGTAATTAAAATTAATTAAGGTAGAAAGACAGGGTATAGGAATATGTTGGTTGCTAAGGTTATAAGGTTTTTTTTTTTCATTCTTAGATATTGACTTCTGCAAGGATAAAGGAATTAGGAATAAAGGAATTAGTATTGTTATTTCACAGGATCATTTCTTCATTTAATTATTGTGGCGTAATAGATTCAAGTTTATCGTGGATGAGACATCAGCCTGCGAATTTTGTTGTTGTAGACACCATTTATATTCAATAAACTAGCCATTGTATTGATCATCACAGAACGACCTGAAAAACAGAAAACAAATCTGCGAGTAGGATATTCAAGGGTTACATATTTGGAAACAGCACTACCCTACACTTTTGTTTAGAATTAATTATTATTTCGAGTAGATATTGATTATTAGTTATCTATCTATGAAACGCTAGTTCAAAGACCAGAGTTGAAATATGGTTCTCGTTTTACGCACATACATACAATTGTATCAGACACTCACATCACAATACAAATACACAAACATATATTGCTAAAAAGCCAATTTCTTTAGCCCTAATAATACCGGTATCCCCTGAAACCATTTCAAGGGCCCCAATAAAAGGTTTCGCGGGCCGGGTATGTTGTGCAGGCCTGTTGCAGGCTAACTTGATTGCCAAAAGTCACGAGACTTTCAGCCGGCGATGTTTGTCTAGCTAGAACAAGTCGTTGGGTATGGATTTGCCTGCTGGATGCCGTGGTTTTCTAATGCTGCAAGTACAAGGCAGTAAGGCAATGCTGCAAGGCAGTAAGGTGTCCACGCCTAACAGGACTAAGACTGACCGCCTGAGAAGTCTGGAAGTTACGATACTGGTTTCGATTCAGGCACCGTGTCTGGTTATGGACAGACACCGGTCGCGGTCGGCATGTCGCACATCTGTGTCTTAGTCCAGTAAGATCTTGAACATGTACCGGTACCGGTATCCCGTCTCCTTTACACTGTTTAATTATTATGCAGATACCGGTACTGTTTCATTTACTGTTTACATTTAAACACGCCTAACATTACATAGGCTACATCATATTCTAGTACCAGTACAGCAGTCATTGCAAAAATATTGAACTTTTTCAAAAATGTTTTCGCGATTTGGCACTTACAATTAAATACCTAGTCTGATCATTTTGCGTAAAAATATTCTTCCAATGTTTTAGTGTCTGGCTTGGACGGTTCGTGCAGCATCCTTGCTTTATGGCCCTCAACTCTCATGGCAGAGAAAAGAGGATAAAACGACTTACAGGAAGTCCTCGGGTTACGACTAACGCTGTTTCAAGGTTACGAACGCACTTCATGAAAATATAAAAGGTAATACTGTACTGTAATATCTAAGCCCTTAAACTGGATCATTGAGATCAAGAAAATCAGTGCTTTGGGCTCATTGGTCCTCGTCATTTACATCATAAATTACACCGCTCCTCGAGAACGGAACATCGTCGTCAGTCGAGGACTTCCTGTAATTATATGGCGAACCATGGCCTCTTGTGAGCATGCATTTCTACAGCTGTCAGGTATGCATACTTTGGAAATAGCAAAATTTATGCATCGCCATGAAAATGGTTTTCTTCCCCCTGCTTTTGGGGAATATCTTACAAATCTAAAAGATGTACATAAATATGGTACTAGATCGAAGATAACCAGGTCTTATTTTCTACCTCAGGTTTTAACTGGTATTGAGAAAAAATCCTTAAAATACAATGGTGTCCAGGTTTGGGGTTATGTCTCATTTGAAATAAAATCAATCAATCATCATTTATTCGTCAACACAATTTAAACATGGTACGATATATGAAAAATTATTACAAATACGAGTGGAAACTAACTTGAATTGTGTGACAGGAGTCGCGAGGGACCTCAAGAGGTCTTCAGGCAGCGACACCTACAACGCTTGTTGATTCAGGTTAATAGCTTAGAAAGTTAATGAAACCATAAAACATTTCAAAATAAATATTTTGAAGAAAAAAATTCCTCTCCATTGTTTTCTAAGAAAATGAAAAAGCTCTTGCTCACAAAATACTCAGAATAATTGCCTTCTCATCCCTTAATAATAATATATTTGATAAGTGAAACATGTTTTATTATTTATGTGATGTTACATTTTCAACTTCTGATTGTATATCAGAGTTTAAACTTATCAGTATACGCTTCCATACCATTAATATGTCTTACATTATTATTGATGTAATATAGTTCTAGTTTTGTTTAATGATTGAATCTGTGATATTCTTATCACCATATTGTTTATTCCTATTTTTTTTTTATATATCGAGACGGTATCTGAGGAAGTGAATAGTATTGTACCAGATCACAGTGTAGTATAATTTTACACATGTCCTCTGAACTCCACAATAAACATGATTATATAGTGTTGAATCATAGAAAAAAAAAATAAACTCATTTTCTGTCTTTTATTTTTTTTTTAAACTTAATATTGTTACAATCCAATGAATCCATTATTAAAGCTTAATCACAGTGAAGAAAATGGTCGGGAGCCTTCGGGCCTGCAAAGGTCTTGCATACTGACCATCACAACTCAATGTTTAAATTATCCACTGCACTGCATTCAGATAAAAATCTGTAATATTGTCTGTTCTTTTTTATTTGAAACATTGTTTTGTGGAAATAAAAGCTCTCTCTCTAGACCTGCTACCAGTCAATTAGTTAGCCAGTTATTTGTTTCAGATGCATGAGATTGATGGTAAAGGAAATCATAATCGACCAGTGGTTACGTAAACCACTCCACACGAGCGAGATGTCCAGCAATCCTTTTGTAGATGATTATCCACACAGGATGCGGATCTGCAAAGGGTGATCACAAGTGAGGGGGCACGAAGTCTGGCCATCTTCTTGCACATAATTATCCCCCACAGAAGTCAAACAAATCCAGGGGTACAGTGACGAGCTATTCCTAGCGCTTCGCATGATCATACAATGAACCACTTATAAGTGCTTCCTTCTATCAATGCCTAGCTGCCTAACTTTAATTTGTATAGGACAATCGCATGGGTGACGTATGATGCTTTCGCTTATATCCAATTCTTTTCAGTATTTGCATCAGCTTATGAGTTCAGGGGTTTAAACACTTCTGATATTCAAGTTACAGATCCTGTAATAGTGCATCCTATAATACCTACATCTACTTACTTTCGTAAAAAGCTTTACAGCAGGCCGAGAAAATGAGTTTTTATGGAGGAGTAGAGGGTGGGGGTACCCAGACAAGTGCAGTAATTTTGAATGAAAGGGGAGAAGAGTTGGCCTGGGCTTATGGTGGATGCTCCAATGCTTATCAAGTCGGGTTGGATGAAGCAACTGACACAATAAACTCCATTGTAGAAGAGGCAAAAAAGAAAGCTGGAATACCAGCCGAGCAGTGCTTGAAAACTCTTGGACTATGTCTCAGTGGGGCACAAGAGTCTATGGTAAATAAATTTAATGAAAAATATCCAAAGCTTTCCAATAGCATTGTTATACATAATGACACTCTTGGGTCACTGGCAACTGTTTGCAAAGGAGGTGGAATTGTACTCATTGCTGGTACTGGGTCAAATTGTATTTATGGAAGCGAAGATGGAAAGGTTACAAGATGTGGAGGATGGGGACCGTTTATGGGGGATGAAGGTGGTGCATGGTGGATATCTCATCGTGCAATTAAATATTTGTTTGATGATGATGATAATTTAAATCAGTCTCCTGCTAAAACAGATGTTGTGCGCAAGCTCATGCATGAGTATTTTAAAGTGAGCGACAATGATGGAATGTTGGATCATTTCTACACGAATGCAAGCAAGACATTCTTTGCGGGCTTTACTAAATTGCTAGCAGAAGCCGCCACAAATGGTGATGATTCACTATGTAAATTGGTGTTTGCTGAAGCTGGCCGTGATCAAGCAAAACATATTTTAGCAGTACTGCCAGCGGTTTCTAATGATTTGTTAGAGAGCCATGATGGTTTGCAAATAATATGTGTGGGTTCTGTGTGGAAAAGTTGGCCTCTCTTAAAAGATTCATTTGTGTCATGTCTCAAGCATGAGTCGAAGAGGAAGATTTCAGCAATTACACTTCTTCGTCCAGCAAAGTCAAGTGCTATTGGAGCAGCTTTACTTGGCTCTAAGGATTGTGCGGAAGTCATTGAAATGGATTTAACCAACAATTCTACATTGCTTCATAAACAAGCACTATGATCATTGCAAGCAACTGTCAAATTATTCATGAACTGATTTCATGGTCAATTTATAGCAATCTTTCATCATGTGCAATTTATCACCCAAATCTTTATTTTTTGAATAAATGTAAAATCGAGATTTAGTGAGTGCTAAAAGTGATATTTTAAATAAAATACTTTCTATTCAAACATTTGAATCAGTGGTTATTAGTTAGATTCTGTAATGTTGACATTAAGAATTTCATATATTTGCAATTAATTACATAATTGTGTTTTTAATTTTTCTCAGAATTTGTTTTAAAATTGATGTATAAATCAGATGGACAAAGCTAATATTGATGACAAAGTGTTGAAATATGAACATTTCGTAAACGAAACTTTAAGGGGTGATCTAAAGTAAGTATTAAATTCTTCAAAGCTATTATTGGTATTACCCAAACGACGCAAATACATGTCAGCTCCTCATTGCTAATAACTTGTCTATGTTTCACATGCAATGGTCAACCTACAATTTCTGTGCATCATTCACTGCATATAACTTCAAATATGAAACACATTCTCTTGTTGAATTCAGAAATCTAAATGATTTGAGGGATAAAGTTTATGGCGAAATTTCAGAATATTTGCAACTACAAACCACTTTACAGAAACTTGAAGAATGTAAGGCTAACAAAAACAACCAACCTTTGAAGACGCAAGTAGATATCGGATGTAATTTTTTCGCTCAAGCTGTTGTGTAAGTATATGTAGCCTATTCATTTAGATTTCTAATGCAGGCTACACCAACTCAATTATGGCAGTATTGATTTACCACAGAAATAGGTGGTTCACAGATTATGTTTAGAGATCTTGTAAATCTACTAATGTGTCAATTTAAGAAAAATCTCTTCTTTTAGCTGCGTATTGTTTTTCAGCGATGATCCATCAAAAGTATTTGTGTGTGTCGGCTATGGGTTTTATGTGGAGTATACATACAAGGAGGCTTTGGAATTTATTGACAAAAGGGTGAAAATACTAAACAAACAAGCTGAAAATTTTTCAAAAGACATGGCTCATGTCAGAGCACAAATTCGACTTGTACTTGAAGGCTTGAGAGAGCTACAAGGGTTGTCATGAAGCTCCTGGAAATCAAGATGGCATATTGGCTGGTGAAACCGCTCAAGATGTTGAAGGAAGTTAATTGAATAAAAGTCAGCTTTCCACTGAAAGAAAAACCCTAAAACTAAGCATTTTATTTTGACAAATTCATGCTGTGGACTATGCCCAGTAATGATTGACAATTTTACTATACTGCATGGTTCTGAAATTTAATATAAAAGCAGTCACTAGTCAGAATTTCTCCATGGTTATGGCCATGAATAAGTTCAACCTTTTCTTCTTCTTCTCAGATTTTTAGTTTTATAACTTAGTCTGCTATTTCTACTTTTAAACTGCAATGGAGACCAGTACAGAAGATCAATTGGATCTAATCATGGACCGACCAAATGTCGTTGGGGTAGTAATGGCGGATACAAAAGGTTTATGCACAGGGGTGCGAGGAGAGGGCAGATCTAGCCAAGCAGGGCAGGTATCAGCCCTATGTAATGAGGCGAAAAGACTTGCAAAAAAGCCGCAGGTGAATATTAATGCCACTTAGTTTTGAAGTTTTCTCTGCTGACTCAACTTAAAAGAAATTATGTTTTGCAGAGTGTACCTGTGATTGTATTGGAGACAAACGATGGAAAATATAGATCAATGACAATTAAACAATCAGATGATGTTTGTACCGGTGTTATTCTCACTTCAACTGCTTTGCAGTCTTGATGTCATTGATTTTTCGCATTGAATAAAGAAACTGCTTCTAGCCATGATGATGTGCTCAACTTGACCATTCCTCCAAGGGCTTTTACACTTATTCGTGGTCCACCTCCATTGACTTCAGCTGAAATGAGAATAGTGAAAATTTTTCAAATACAAATGTGAATGAAGAACCTGGCTTGACTTTTCAAGGTTCTCATAAAATAAAAAATATTATACCCCTGTATCTTGAGCATGGACCTCGATGTTGTCTGTGTACATCTTTGAACATAGATGCTGTTGCAGTGTCATCGATCTCTTGAGCTTCAACGTCAATTTGGCACCCTAGTTTCTCAGACATTGCTAGAGAGATGTTGCCTAGAATTAACAAATAAAACAGTTCGCTAATAATGACAATAATTATCGTATTGATTGTAGTACCAAGTTGACTAGATCAGATGTTAGAAGAAGCCATTTGCAAGAGGATTTTTTACAGAGCAATTATAAATATGTTCGGATATATTGCAATAAATATACCTGTGTTTGTAACAATGTCTGCTGATTCGACTTTATCAGTTAGAAAGACCTGAACATTGCCATCCTCTGACCATGCATTAAACTTCCCTTCAGCTGTTCCTGCAGATATATCACCTTTTGCTTGCAATTCAGCATCGCCATGGATACTTGTAATCCTGGAAACACAATTATTTCATCAAAGTTGAACTGCTAAAAAGTTTGAATAGTTTATTATAAATTTTTTTCCCGGCTGGGACATTGGATTGACTCATCCTAAAAATGATGTTTGTACAATTAAACTGAGTACCTAATACTGCCATCATCTGCAACCAGAGACAAATCTTTTGCATACAGATCTCCCACAGAAATTAATCCTTCACTGGTTGACAATGAGATTGTGTTTCCTTGGAGTTTGTTGGCTGTTATATTTCCACTTTCACTCTTTAGACTAATATCGCCTCTGATTGAATTGCAACATGAGATATGCTCATTGGATTCTACAGTAACTACATTGCTCTGAAAATTGCAGGATATCCACCAAATTAACATTGCAGAAATTTAATACCATAAAGATAAATATGCTCAACTAACCTTAATATTCATGAGTTTTATATTATGTTGTTCTGCTTTGACAATTAGAGCACTGTTTTCCATATTTGATATGCTACCCGTTGCACATCCTTCTGCAAGAACCTTCAGATCTGAAAATTACATCAAAATCTAGAATAATATTTTTTAAACAAGAGGATTTTTTAAAAAATAATGCATACCTACTCGAAGCGGTACAGAAATGTTCAAAGTTTGTTCATTTTTATGACCGGTTGCACTAATAATCAAAGATTCTGTCACATCATCTTCTAATATGTCTAGTGATTCAACCCTGCCTGTTTAAAAATGTTGAAAAAATACGATAATGATATTAAAAAGTAAAGAGCTCATGTTTTAAATGCTGTTTTCAAAGTTCGCTTTCATACGTGGTTTATGTACAGATGTAACCACTGGTCCATTATGACTTCCTACACCATCAAGTCCATGCTTATGAAACAAAAAAGGCCGTAGTCCCCCATATGATTAAGCCATCTTATCGTCTTCCTCACTCTCGAAATATTTGCAAACAAAACATTAGATTTGTACCTGAATCATCAACTCTCCATTCTTACTCGTAGGATAACAACGATATAGAAAGATCAAGTGCTACTTAAGTCAAGTATCTACATTTGAAAGCTCAAAAACATTCTCCAATTTCAATATTATACTTACTTCGATTATTTGAGGGATTTTCGTCATGTGTAATTTTTATTCTGTCTGACAAATTCGTGTCAATGTTGTAGTTGACATTTGAGAGCTTTGTTGTGAGTTTCCAAAACGGTTTGATAGCTACAACTTTACATTCTACTAATGACCTAACGTTAATTTTTGTTGAGAAAAGTTTTGAAGCGACGGCAGACGGATGAAACAATATGTCCCCCGTTCTAAACAGGAAAGATCCAGCAGTCAATTTTCCCATCGTTCATAAGCACCCTCGCCTACGAATCATTTATTTCATTTGTACCGTCTGGTGGGGATTTCCCTATCGTGATGACACGAGTCTGATAAATGGTGCGAGTCTGATTTAATTATTTCAACGTAACTCGTCGTTGGGCCTAAACTTACAATTCAATAAAAGTATTATTGCTATGAAATACAACAATATGCGTGCCCGATTATAATTAGAATCGATTTGCACTTTTTCGATATCACTCACTCAGAATGCCAATCAAAATGATATTTCGGAACAATGAGCATATATACATATGCTCATTGTTCGGAAATTCCTTTCCAAACTTATGGTCAGTCAAACAGGCTGGTCGGTTTGGCGCAACTTGCTATACGTTGAGACGTTAGGAATACACTTCTGCACTTGCAACCGCACCTGTGGTTATCCTGCATAGGTTCGTGTGGGGAGATAAACTCTACCACAATTCGTCTTACCTGTTACAGTGTTAATAGTTAATGAACTAACGATGATTGACACAGAATGCAGCGGCGAGTTGTGAACATAGACCCAATTTACTCGTCTTCAAGAACAATAGCGTTATCGGTGATATTGGCCTTCTACGGTATATCTGCATGCCTTCCTGTGCATCCGCAATAATTTCTGAAAGCTCGGGCAACCGGCGCGGCTAACTATAAACAATGCGCCACCGCACGGCGCGGCGGTGTGGCTCAACGGGCTAAGCGTTAGGAATACGCTCGCCACCGCACCTCTAATTACTCTTCGTGGGTTCGCAGGTTCGAATCCCATGCAGGGATGGACTCAGTATGTTCCCCAGCTTTTCTCTTTAGGGGGAGTGTTTCAAAATGTAGGGGGTGGTAAATAATTTGCTATCAGAGATAAAACTAGGCTATTTGTATTCTTAAAAAAATGGTATGTATTTAAGAGACGATGTACATGGGAGCCCCCCAAGTTGATTGACGGCGAACCAAAATTCACAGCAGAATGAAATTGTAGGGCCAGAAAAGGGGAGCGAAGAAAAGTGCGGGACGGCCCGGCTGGGGTTCAGGGCGCGCTTAGGCGCCCTGAGAAAAATTTGAGAAATAGGCACCAAAATAGGCTCTAAGCTTGATTTTAGATACACCTAGCATCGCAGTTTGTTATGTAATAAAATCAATAATTATAATATTTAGCTGATAGAATTCCCGGGGAATAGATAACAAGCACGGCTTTCAACCGTAAATATATACTACTACGTTTCAACAAGTAATTTGCAAATGATAGTGACTAATGAAGTTACTTGCTCATCTGTCATTGTATGAATGGCTACTTATGGCTAGTTTTGTTACACATTTCTAATTTTTTTGAACATGTTTGTTTGACTTTTGTATGAATTAAATTTTGAAATACCCTCGTCAACTGATCATAATGTCGCATAATGTTGTATTCCTTCAGAACTGAAATATTTTGTTGGTAAGAAGACAAATCGCTGAAGTTTGATTCTTTTCAATAAAGAAATAAAAACGCTGTCATTCATCTAAAAAACGTCTGTTTTCAGTGCCTAGTTTTCGTTTTGTGACATCTTTAACATTTTAGGGGCAGGGGCGGACACTTTCCATAATTTTGGGGGGGCGAACTTGGATCGCCTACCGAAAAACACCGCGCCGTGTATCGTCACGTAACAATAACCTGTCGATGTCATTCTCTAAGTATTAGCATGTCATTTTGTTACTCATATATCGATTACCTAGGCTGCTTTGCTCGGACACGGAACTTGCGCGTCACTGAACCAATTTTTTGAATTCCGCGAGAATTAGCCCACGGCTCTTGCTAACAAACAGAAAATAACAAATTTGAGGAGTCGTATTAGGTTATTGTTTCAATTCCTAGTTCTGCATAAAGCGCACTAACGCCGTTTCGTAAAATTAGAAATGCAAAACAAGGTAACAAGCTATTGTGCGAATTTTTTTCCTAAATTTTACCAAGGAATTATCATTTGACTAGTAGAATTGCCATTCTTGCCGATTTATTAAATCATCATTTGAACTCGACATAACATTCAGGATTCACGCAATGACTTTGCAGGGTTTTTATTTATAATTTAATACGAAAATAAACAGGCACAAGTTCAGGCTCGCAGCCAGGATTTAAAAAAAAAGGCGGGGTCAAAGTCGGAACTTCCCATTGCCGTCTTCAACAAGCACCGCGATTACGCGCTCGTTAAAAGAGCCGCCTATTTAAGTGTATAATGATTTTTCTGTCAATTCATGACAGCCACGTGATTCTAAAATGTCCTTATATATTAATTTATTTGTGTGCAACGTAACTCGCGGTTGCGACTTCTTACGTCAAAATAAAAATATTACTAAACTAAAGTACCACGGCGATATGTGGGCATAAAAATATGAGATAAGCTGCCTGATGTATTTAATTTTGATACGTATTTTTGTAATCTTCCGAACTCGTTATCGCCGTTACAAAAATCTCGATATCTGATATAAAATCCCATATAGTACAATTTTAATTCATACAATGAAAATAATTATAAAGTATACTAGTAAATCAAAAATACAGATTCACCGCCTCGAAATCCATGCGGAACAGTCGCCGCGATTACGCCACTTGTTAAAAGAGCCGACTTTATCAACGAAAACTGATTTTTCACTTGTGCAAAGTAATCAATCGAAGACCGATACGGGCATATTCAAAATGTCTTGATTTATTAATCTAATTGTCTTCAATTTAAACTGCGGTTGAGTCGACAAAACAAGAGCCACTCTAAAACACGACGGCAATCCGCGGACATAAAAATGTGTGGTAAACTGCCCGTTTATATATTGTTTTGATCAGTATTTTTGCTATTTTGCGCATTCGAAAAATTTGAGATGTACTTGTCACACTGGCTCCGCTCAATCGCAATGTTGTCACTCCGATTATTTTCAATCGTCAATTTAAAAGTAATGGATAAAAAGGCAAAAAAGGCTCACAATTGACCGTGTTTCGATTTTAGTGACGAAATGTTTTTAAAGGTCAAGCAAACATAACTTGTGCCGTAGGCACATGAAATTTTGCGATTTTCGATGCCTAGAAAAGCGTTTTTAGACTGTCGCGGGCCTCAACAAATCTTATATTGTTTACAGTTTTATTTTTAGTATTTTATATTTCCGCTTTTCAATTTTTCGACATAGTAAATGCTTTGATCTTTGCCCGCAAATTATGACGTCCAGCGGTGAAGATTGTTTATAACAACTTTAGATCTAGTTAATTTTTTAGCGATAATAATTAATTGTTGTAATGAAACACAGTTTGCCTCTTTCACTTCTCTCGCAAGTGCCAACAATAACACTATTGAAAGATTTTGACAATGAGAAAATCATGGTTAAATTGTACAAAAATGAATTAGTTGTGCAAAACCGTGGCGCGTGATCGGCGGTGCGTTTGAAGACGGAGTATTACCGTGCGGGCAGCGCATGTTTCACAAAATTGTGAGGTGCTCCGAAGGCGATCTGGTCCAAATTATTGTAAAAAAACATTTATAATATCGGTAACTATTAACCGTTTAATTGCGCTTGACTATCGCACTTTCCGGAAATGATAATTTTGTAAGGCGGAAACAACATGTATTAAATTTTTTTTTGCGAAATTATTGGGGGGGCGACCTCGCCCCCCCGGTTTTTCACTTGTGCAAAGTAATCAATCGAAGACCGATACGGGCATATTCAAAATGTCTTGATTTATTAATTTAATTGTCTTCAATTTAAACTGCGGTTGAGTCGACAAAAACAAGAGCCACTCTAAAACACGACGGCAATCGCGGACATAAAAATGTGTGGTAAACTGCCCGTTTATATATTGTTTTGATCCGTATTTTTGCTATTTTGCGCATTCGATAAATTTGAGATGTACTTGTCACACTGGCTCCGCTCAATCGCAATGTTGTCACTCCGATTATTTTCAATCGTCAATTTAAAAGTAATGGATAAAAAGGCAAAAAAGGCTCACAATTGACCGTGTTTCGATTTTAGTGACGAAATGTTTTTAAAGGTCAAGCAAACATAACTTGTGCCGTAGGCACACGAAATTTTGCGATTTTCGATGCCTAGAAAAGCGTTTTTAGACTGTCGCGGGCCTCAACAAATCTTATATTGTTTACAGTTTTATTTTTAGTATTTTATATTTCCGCTTTTCAACTTTTCGACATAGTAAATGCTTTGATCTTTGCCCGCAAATTATGCTGGGCCTTGCACGAAATCCATAACGTGAAAAGATACGTCCAGCGGTGAAGATTGTTTATAACAACTTTAGATCTAGTTAATTTTTTAGCGATAATAATTAATTGTTGTAATGAAACACAGTTTGCCTCTTTCACTTCTCTCGCAAGTGCCAACAATAACACTATTGAAAGATTTTGACAATGAGAAAATCATGTTAAATTGTACAAAAATGAATTAGTTGTGCAAAACCGTGGCGCGTGATCGGCGGTGCGTTTGAAGACGGAGTATTACCCGTGCGGGCGCGCATGTTTCACAAAATTGTGAGGTGCTCCGAAGGCGATCTGGTCCAAATTATTGTAAAAAAAACATTTATAATATCGGTAACTATTAACCGTTTAATTGCGCTTGACTATCGCACTTTCCGGAAATGATAATTTTGTAAGGCGGAAACAACATGTATTAAATTTTTTTTTGCGAAATTATTGGGGGCCCCCTCGCCCCCCCCCCGGGTGTCCGCCCCTGTTTGGGGGGGGGGTGTTCACCCCCTATAGGGGGGGGTGTAGGGAAATCACTGGGGATGGTTATGTGCGAGAGGATTGCTGGACTCCCCGCCGTCGTTGGGGGGTTCACGTAACCGCTGGTCGGTTACGGCTTCCTCCACCACCAAGTCCATGCTTCCGAAAAACAAACAATATAACTAATCCCATACCAGACTTGGAATGGTAACCGGACGTTCGCCATATGGATAAGCCGTCTTATCGGCATTACTCTCCCCCGGGATAAATATGTAAATCCTATCCTAACTCATCTAAAACCATAAAGAGATCTGCCATAAAAGTTAACGGTAATTTGTATTTGGGATGGGCCGAGATTTGGATCTTCTTGGATTCAATTGGGTATATATATATTATGTTATTTTAACCGAGTCCTTATTCAATTCTATT